AGAACCAACTCGATGAAGCTTACCTTCCTGTCGGAACGCGTGACTGAACTTGCCATGGAGAAAGAGAATGGTTGAAGGGGAATATAGGAGAGGATAAGGGGAGTGGATGAAAATGGGAAAAAGAGTGAATTCTTTACTTGCTTCCAACGATCGCACGAGTTGTTAGACTGCGATCTAGCTGTTGGTTTCACGCTTCGTCGTTTGCTCATCAATTTTCCCTCTATCTCTTTCTCTTTCTCTCTCTCTCTCTCTCTCTCTCTCTCTCTCTCTCTCTTGTTTTTCTCTCTCAATCCCTGTTTCCCTTTCTCTTTCGCTAGAAAATCTTTTGTTGCGTAGTACAAACCAACTGTGATTAACACGCAGTTATTCTTTCCAGTCTTTCGCGTTTCCAAAAGCTACTGAATTCGATTCGACTTTCGAACGAGATTAGTATCGTTTTGTCCGACATGGGATAGCTAACGGATCTACACTACGAAATAGTACGAAAAAACGTATCCTGTAAACGTAAAAACAATGTCTTTGTTTTCTAACAATTCAGTATTCACATTGAAAATATGAATGACAAACTTTTATAATCTATCAATCAAATTTATAAGTTAACAACGATATATATTTATGTATATGTCAGTGTGGAAGAGACGAATTTGATGAAGACAAAAAATTACGTTCAATTGTTATAAAATAGAATCACACGTACATTAACGACCCATCTTTAATTATTTTAAAAATAAACGTCACTTTGAAAAAAGTTTTAGACTAACCATTACCATGGATCTCAACTTCGTCTTCATGTAAGTAAATACATTAGATTCGATCGAAGCCTAGTGGTTTCAAGAAAACCTGCAAGTGGAAAAGCTGATCATCGTGTCATTTACAGACGATCGGATAATAGACACACAGAGCGTGAGAACGTGCTAATACCAGACTCGAAAGCACTAGTCGAAAATTAGAGGAGAGCTTTTCGTTTACTCGCTTGGATCAAAGGCGAAACGTTGCGAATTTTGCGGTATTGGATCTTCACTGAAACTCTTGTTTACTACTTACTCATTCTCTCCTTCTCTTTCTCTATCTATCTATCTATCTATCTATCTATTTATCTATCTATCTATCTACCTATCTATCTGTCTATCTATCTATCTATCTATTTATCTCTATTACGCATCTGTCTATTCCTCTCTTACGCATAACTTGTCGATCTTCCAGTTCTGGTTCTCTTAGTCTACGTAACCACTACTGCATTTACCACGTAATTTTGGTAGTGGCCAACCAGGTCGCATTAGACCAACGTACATATCTTTCCTCTCTCTCTCTCCCTGTCTTTCTCTCTCTCTCTCTCTCTCTCTCTCTCTTCCTCTATCTATTTCTCTATCTCGTAACACACTCTTACAATTATATCCCAAATGACTTCGATGCAACCTTTGCAATCTCTCGGAACAATTATTTCGTTCCAGTCAAACTCGTAACAACGAGATTTAAGTTCGCCTAACTTTGTTCACATTGCTGCAACTTAATCATTGTTAAATGTTACAAAAGCCACACAATCACTTTGCTTCTCTTCCATCTGAATTTCTCCTTCTCTATCTTGACAATGTAAAAGCAAGATATTAATAAGAATCAAGCTAATTTTGACATCGTGTCGTAGAAATTAAAAATTAAATTTATCCTTCCTAACTTAAAGGATTTTATCAATGTTTTTTAATAATTATTGAGTTATTAAAAATGTGGTTCTTAACAAACTCGATTGATGAATGATTCGTATGAATGATCACAAGCACAAACTCATTAACTATTTCTCGGAGTTATCCGAGCAGGAAAAGCGGTATTCAAAAAGGATATTACTCTCATAACTATGAAACATCGAGTCGGGAAGCTGTAAATTATTGATATGAACCTAGCTCGTGAAAATTCTACATCTCTCTCTCTCCCTCTCTCTCTCCCTCTCTCTCTCTCTCTCTCTCTCTGATCTGAAATTTTATCCTACTTTGTGTAAGTGCATTTTTTAATTTTATCTTATAATAATGATAATAATAATAAAAATAATCCGTGTATGTGATCATTGAATTTTAAAGTACATTATTGATAACAGAAAATATTGTTATATGTAGGGTGAGAACAGCACTTTTATAGAAAATATACCAAGAAAAAACATTTGAGACGGCAAAGTCGCAATTATTCTTTTGTTTTATGTATTGAAACTCGTTAAGGGATAAGACTTGTACGTGTCTTCGACGAGCAATTAATACAAGCGTTACTTCTCATTTGGTCATTTTGAACTTTTTTGTTTTTATTACAAGGACAAATAATTAACAAGTACAGTGAGGTCCTACATAGTTGAATACTGCTAAGTTCCAATCTTACATTATGTGTATGTGTATGTAACTATTCAATATAAGTAAATATCAGATTAATTACGATTTAATCGACTTCGTAAAATCACAATGGAACTTTCATCATTATTTTTCTGAAACATTTTTTTAAGTTACATATGCCGTGAATTTAATAAAAGTTCACTTTAATTATATCTTGTTTCCCTCTTTCTATTTCCCTATTTTATCCTTTTTGATACGATATAAGTGTTTTTCTCTAGTATAAACGAGCTTGACGTCTTCTGTAATTACCTTGGATGCAGTGCATGAATTTATCCTTCCTCGGTACCCGATGAATTCACTGAGGATTACGGAAAGATAAATATTCAGTTATGCATAACAGGCAGAGAAGGGTGAAGCTCGCGGTATCACGAGCGATTTCCACTCCGTTGAGATTATTTTTCAAGAAAAACTTGTCGTCGTTTACGCTCATGTGCATTTCTCAAACATGCACGTTGTCTGTAGTCAGACAAACGACATGATTTAACGAACTACGACGAATTTCAAATCATATAGAATATATTTTTTAATTATACTGTTCTACAATATTTATTTAACAAACATATAAAGAAATAAAAAAAGGAAGAAAGAAGACTATGACGCTTTTACAATTGCTCTTACAAAATAGATATGAAATATTTCTATGTGTACGCATGTATTCCTTTTTCATTGATCTCAAAATACGAGATTTTTCTCGTCAAAAATTTCGCTGACTTTCTGCCTTTCCCAATTTCAAAACTGCCCGCGTCACAAATAAAAAGAAAAAAGGAAAAAGAAAAATAGACCAAAAATCATTTATTCTACATATCAGTTAGAAATGCAAAATAAAAGGAAGAATGATCGAACGGTGGATGACCTATCGAAGCAGAGTAGGTTACGATCCAATTAATCTGAAAGCATTTAAATAACACACGTATATTTACATATACATACATAAATTCAACATACACAACATAGTCAATTTCTGTGCTTGCATATCTCCAACCGAGTTCACATATTTATCCTCACGAATCGTTACCCGTTAAATGCGAGCTTTGCGCGTAATTCAACATAGCATGTTACGTAATATTAGAATATATATGTGAAATAGATAGTAAGAGAAAGATACGCAAGAGAGAGGAGAGAGAGAGGAGAGAGAGAGAGAGAGAGAGAGAGAAAGAAAGAAAGATGATGTTCGATGATTTCAGTGGATGAGGGTGAAATTTTTGAACAAAATTACCGGCCGCACGATGTCACGTCATAGACCACCGGAAAGCTTGTCACGCCTCTCACTGCTCATCCGTACCGCATGTAAATCATATTGCGCGTGATGTGCAACTGCAAGTAAGGCACGATGAAAGAAAATCAATGCACTGCGTCCTTGTTCATGTTATGACGTACGTAAAAAAAAAAAAAAAAAGAAAAAAGAAAGAGAAGGAAAGAGGAAAGGAGAAAATGATTCATTAGATATTAAAAGAATTACATCAATGAAGTATATCTTCCTAAAAAAAAGTAGGAACTTATTTCACGATAAGCTATTTCATCCATGATAATGTAAAATGATTTATCGTATTTGAAAGAAAAATTAAAATACATAATAATTAAATATTCAGGATGTCCCATGGACTTGTCAATAATCCTCGTTTGAAAAATTCAATCAACTTGTAGATTGCTCGTCCGGAAAATTCAATTGATTCCGAAGGAACGAATGTTTCTCATTTTGCATTTCCAAAGTATTTTCCAGAAATCGACATTCCTTTTCGGATAAAAAAGTTAATCGAAAAGCTGAAATGTGTTTCGTTTTCGAATAAGAATATTCTTTAAGAACTTATACGAAGAAATCTATGAAATATCCTTTGCTTTTCTGGTTAAATTGAAAACGTTATTATATGAAATATTTCTTCGGTTAGTAGCAAAGTTTCAAACGAAATTTTGATTTTGTATTCGACAGTATATCTACTTATATCAAATCGCAACGATAATACATGTGCAAAACAAACAGCTCAATCGAATACACTTGTCAAAGCAAATGTATACCAAAGGCCAGCTGATTACTGTATGTTCGCTACGATAGCAGTCATTTCTGTCCCCTTTCTGACGCACGTCAGAGCAATAATTACAGGTTACAGTCTGCTGATTGATGAGAAATCGGTCGAAACGTATTAACGTGGTTCCATAAGGCAATTAATGATTTTCTCCGCATACGTTCGGAACATATAATACATAACTGTTTGAACGTTGTTTCTTCCGTATGTTCTTAAAAATCGACGACTTCGATAGAAAGTATTCATCCTATTTAAAAAATTTTGTTTTATGTATAGAACATAAAACAGTTTAAATTAAGTACCATTTTAAAATTTTTGAATTTAATTTAATAATATTTAAAATTGACGTCAAAACTTGGATTTTTCTTTTTTTTTTTTACTGAAATGTACAAATTGACGACGTAAAATTGTTTGATAATTATTTTAATTATTTTTCTTATATATATATATATATATATTCTTATATATATATATATATATATATATATATATATATATATATATATATAAGAAAAACATTATACATAGAATAAAAATCGTGAAATATGTAAATATTGTATTTTTAATGTTCGCACTCGAGGGTGATCTAAAGGATCAATATTTGTTTCAGGAGAGCATCCAGCCGCGATGCAACACGGTAACACAGCCGCGGGCTCGCCAACGTCGAAGACCGTTCTCCTTCTGCTTGTCTTTTTCTTGGGCAGACTGAGATAATGTGCGGGCGCATGAACTCAGACAAGTCAAATGAAGGCCTGAAGAAAATTCGGCGGAAGAGCGAGATTTTTATGATCGTCCGTTCCTTCTGCGAACGATTTGAAAAAATCGCAAGGCACGAATTTCGAACGAATTTTCTTTCTTTCAAATTCGCGCCGAAACCGTCTGAGCTATAGAACATTATATAAGGAGTTACATACGAGTTACACACTTATCGACTTTGAGAGGACATGAAAATAATATTGAGAATATCGATCGAGTTTATTCGAAATTGATAGATCGATAAATTGAAAGAAATAAAAAAGAAAAAAGAAAAAAATAGTGAAGACTGGCTAAAAATACGCGAGAGTACCAAGTGTGCCGGTTTATCTTCAATCAAGTATCGCCGATTGAAAAGGTCAAAGTTCGAGGAGAAGAGAAAAGAGAAAAGAAGAGAAGAGAAGAGACGAGGAAAGTTCGTTCGATGAGATCGCGATGGAACTTCGCGGAACGTCGTTTCTCTACAATAAATGTAATTTATATTCGCGCACGTTCCCGCTCGTCCACTAAACGACGAACTCATAAATTATTTCCCCACGAAGCCGGATTTTAATTTCGTCGGCGATGGATTGCGTAAGCGAGCGTATGCGCATATATGTACGCGATATTCTTATACGTGTGAAAAAAACATGCACGCGTAAACACAGATATACACACCATAGACACGTACAAAAAAAAAAAAAAAGAGAGAGGGAGAGAGAGAGAGAAATACGTTGTGAGAACGGAGAGATCGATCTAAGGAAAACACACATTAGATTATAATGACGGCTGACGGGTCCTCCGCTATCGTAAGAGAGCTCTACGCAAAACTATAAATCAGAAAAGTGCATAATATAGTGTCGCATGCGCAAACTCATAAATCAGATTAAACCGTGCATATAGTCCACGCGAGTAAGAAAAAGAAAGCGTTTGTTACATGAGATTATCGATTCGAGCGTTCTTTGCTCTACTTCAAAATCGGAACATATTTCTTTTTCTCTATTTGTTTCTTTCCTTTCTCTTTTATTTTATTTTCTATTATTTTCTTCTCTTTACTTTTTCCTTTCGCCTTCATTTTTCTTCACCGTCTCTCTCTTCTTTCCGTGCTTCAAAACGTTCTCTTTTCACGCGGAGAATTCGAAAGGATCGAACGATGACGAGGATGGTTACGTTTTCCTTCCAGACATAAAGATAAAGAAATAGAAGAAGGAAATTATACGATTGCGAGTTTATAAGATGATATCTTGAAAAATCTATTAGACGATAAAATTCTTATCTTGGAAGAGTGAACTTCTCTCTCTTTTTTTGTCTTTTCTTTTCTTTTCTTTATTCACGGAAAACAATGTATCCTTTGTAAAAGCATCGACGTGAATTCCGTTCATTTCTAATGAACGTTCGACTATGAAACAATTACGAAGAAAAAATGAAAGAGAAGAAGAAATAAAAAAGGAAGAAAAAAAGGGTAAAGGTCTCAGCAACTCGATGAATATATCAATATAATCACAAGGTATTATTATTACGAATGAAAATTCTAGATTTGTGAGAAAACTTTCGAAATTTTAATGCAACCAAGCTGAATTGCGAATCATTTCGAGGGGGAAAATTGGAACGCGACGGTTGTCAATAAATTTATAAGCATTCCGATATTGGAGAATCGTACTCGTATATTGCATGTGCAAGTACATATATGTGTGCGTATATATATGTATGCATACACACACACGCGCGTTTATATACATATACGTATATCTACAAACATAAAACTCGATGGATTCTACCTACATATTTCCTTCTTGCACGACCACAATTTGATCCTACCGTTGGGTTCACGAAAGAAATGGCGATATAAACTCTGACATGGAGCGGTTTAAAATGATTTTCTACTGGCGTACATCTGCGCGCTTCCATGCTGAAACGAATGACGCACACCGAAAATAAATCTTTTCCAAAGATGTTCGCCGTTTAGTATTTCCTACAAGAAACGAACTTACGACACTTACATTGACTCAAAAGAAGATCGATTTTACTCTTTTGCATACGTATCAATGTTGACCCAGTTATTAGAAATATGTTTTATCCTTTTTTCGAGCATATATAACAAATTTTTTCAATAATGATAATACAAAAGAGAAATATACAACTTGATGTCGGATTTATCTTTTCCCAAAATCATATATTTTTATCTATAAGTTGAGATATTTATGATGCTTTTGACAGATAGAATATTAAAATACGATCGAAACAACGATATATAAGATTTTAAAAGACTATAAAAGAACGTACTTTCCGATCATTGAAAATCGTCAGAGCACTTTTTGCATAGGAAAAGTTTTTTATCGATTATCCTTTTTCTTCGAAAAAGTGGAAAAGATATTCAAATTTTCGATTAATTTTCTCCAAGAATATGATTAACGCTCTTTCAAACTGCTTCAAAAGTACGCTAAGTAATAAATCTAGTTTCACTCGGGATATCTCGGCCGTATCCTCGTAACAAAAATGAAGAAAAATAATTTTCTCACGTTTGATGGAAAGCGATAAATATTTGAGTGTTTTACATTAAAATCGTATATCTAGTTTACTTCAAACATCCATTTTCGTACACGTAAAAATAATGCTTCTTTAATTCGCCACTCAGGAAATAAAATAGATAGTTCAATTTCGTATGGAGCCAATACTGTCGATCGCATATCGTAAAAAACAAAAGTAATTCCTGATGGATATAGAAAATCGATGTGTATATAAGGTCACATCATGTCAAATGCGTATCAATGTTACATTTATTATCATAAAGGTATCTCTAAAGATTCTAAATAAAATTTTTATATTTCTTTACGAAGTTATTTTTAACGAACTCATCGACTTTCAAATTTCTATTCCATCTTTATTCGTTTCGACTTTCTTTCCAATTTTTTACGATTCGAGGATATGACATTAAAGATATTTCCGGGTTTCGTAAAATATCTCGAATGATTGTATGATAAGCATTTGCCGGCTTATATCGAAACGATATTTCCTCGAAACGATTTTCCTAGGGAGACCAAATTTCGAAAGAAACTACTAAAAATTTTTCAGAGTCTTGATTCCTTGAATTTTCTCTTAAATATATACACCCTATCCGTGAACGTGATTTTGTTGCCCTTACCCTAGATTCGAGCTGAATATTAAGTAAAGAAAAAAGAAAAAAAAAAGAAAAGGAAAAGAAACGCAAAAGAAAAGATCATATTGAGAAATTCGTTGTTCGACGCAGAAACAAATGATTTTTTTTATTAATTACCGTTACAACTAATTTAGCCATCCGAGATAATGTTATGTTAAGAAACGAGAATTCCTCGCCACTAAACGTACTTTTTATGATTTCGTATTTTAATAAAAGAGAGCGATGACAAAATTAACTCGTTCATTAAGTTTATGCTCGTAAAGTAAAAACTATCGTTTCCACGCCGGAACAAAAACAAACATAAATTTTACAATGACTGGTTAGAATATTTTTGACAATTCATATTCTTGGTGAAAATGCATGATACGAAGAATCCAAAGAAAATCAAAGTATAGTCAAGGATCGAACGTAATAAAACAAACAAAGAATGGGAATTAATTTTCTTGTCGATGCTTTTACATTTTCTCGGAAATGGAAAACGTATGTATTTCCGTCCCGTCGTCGGTTAATCATCGTTTTCATGAATAGAACGAAGAAAAGGAAACGGCAATTTTCTATGGCTTGATCCTTGAAAATTTTAATCGTGCATTTCAACGCGAAACGAACTGTATGTTATATTTGCTTGATCGAATGAAAGACTGCGTTTATCAGGGAGAATGAGAGAGAGAGAATGAAACGAAGAAAAATAGCTGTGTCCTCTCTACACTGACCATAGAGCGAGAGAGAGAGAGAAAGAGTGAGAGTAAGAGTGAAAGTGAGAGTGAGAGAAAGTAAGAGAGAATGAGAGAGAATGAGTGAATGATTCGAAAAAAAAAATGTTAAGTGTAAACTGAGTGTGTCAAAAAGTATAAATTAAGGTTAAAAAAAAAAGAAAGAAAAAAGAAAAAAAGGAACAAAGAAGACGACGACAAACGGAGATATCGACGTTGGAGTAGGTAGAATACAATTATCCCTTCAGAATACTTTCTACTACGGTATAAGTGTTAAATGAAATTAACGAAAAAAAAAAAACGTAAAAAATAAAAAAGAAAAAACAGAAAAAAAGAACAGGTAAAACAGTAGGAAAGTAATATCGTAACAAAATGAAAAAAAAAAAGAAAAAAAGAAAAAAAAAGAAAACAAACAAACTTATATCTAGTCGAACTCTCGTATGATTTACACCATGAATAACCCAACTGTGTTCCTCCTACCACAACTTTCACATCTTCTTTTCACGCGATTCTCGACGTATTATTGTACAAAAATGTTTTACTCTTGTAAATAAATTATCCGTATGAAGATGTAGAGCGAAACGATTTTTTACTGTTACCTATTCTCACACGTGAAATTTTATAATAAATATGTCGTTATATTCTATTTTCTCAACGATAACGAAATGAAAAGGACGAACAATTATACGTAAGTATAATACATGATTTAAAATAATAAATTTTAGAATTATTGAAAATGTCGATCGTTTCGATCCCGAACGAATATTGAAAATATTGAAAATATTTATCAAACTTTTATCAATGATCAATTATTCCTTCTACTCTTTAGACTTCAAGCACATTGGGATTTGCATTCGCTACAAACATGTCTTGTTTCTCTCAAGAGACAGATCCGTCATCTTGGTTGGACTATCGTTGGCGACGTTAGACATCGAAGGGATTATCAAAGTCGGCAAACATCCTCAATCCTTGTTGTTCCATGCTCGAAAGCATCAATCACGGACAATTCTAAATGTGTACCTACCAAGTCGCATCTTAATTCCCTCTACCTTAACTATTTGATCGAGTATACCGATCCCTCGATGTATCCTCCCGGCTCCTTTCACTCACGTAATTTGAAACGTCTTCTCGTTACCAGTCAAAGATATTTTCGGCCAATAGAGGGCTCGATCCCTTTTGGGACATACAATATACGATATTAGAGAAACGTTAGATACATTTGCGAGCGCGCGCACGCACACAGAATGGTGTCAAGTACTTACTTAATTACTTAATATAGAATAATGTATTATAAATTTATAAAGAAATATGGAACTTCTTAATATAAATTCACAGAATATTTAACTGGAAATAGGAATTATAAATTGGTTTACTTAATGATAAAAAAAAATCGAAGACGACTACGATAACTATGACACCTCTCTGTTCTTCTCAAATATTTCTCACTGATTTTGAGATATTTAAAAAACAATTGCAATATCATTTAACAATAAGCAAGTTCTTTCTATTCATGTAAAAAGAAAAGAAAGAGAAAGGTCTTCTCTAAAAATGTCCAACAAAAACATATTCACGTTTATATCTTGATTTCAATGAAAAGATAAACAAACGAAAAAAAGAACGTATTTTTATCAACAAAAAGAAAATAAAAAGAAATAAAAATAAAAATAATGTGTAAAAAGTATGTAAAATGTTATGTAAAAAATAATCTAAAAATAATGTAAAAATATTTTTGGATAGATAAGCAACAATATTCTCGTGCATTTCGTCGTAACACGTGAACTCGAATTATGAATATCTAGGACAACTTTACAGGAATCAACGCACACTGTAACGTACATCGATACAACACGACATTCGACACGATGCCTCGTTAAAATTTAAAAAAGAATACTCGTGTAACAGGCCATCCCATTACAACATGCTCGGTATGAGAATACAGGTAAAAAATAAAAATAGGAAAGAGAGAAACAAAATTGTGGATGGTTGGATAGGTGAATGGATAAGATTCTTTCTCTCTTTCTCTCCCACTCTTTTTCTCTATGTAGGTATGAAACAACGTGTATAGCCTCGCTATAAAAAAATTCTACCGTACGTTGAGCCTCTCTAATTATCTCGGCCGCGATGAATGCAAATTCAACGTTTTTTTCCTACTTGTGAAAAAAGAGCAAAAAAGAGAAAAAGAAGCAACATAGATATGGTGTGCTGATTAGCTCCTACTCAAGCCACTATCCTAATTCGACACTATAGAAACCATCATTGTTCACCGGGTGTACTTAATTAGCAGCGTTAATCAGTATACTTTGCTTTCATTGATAATAAAAAAAAAAGCGATGAAAGAAAGAAAAAATAAAAAGCATCATTATTGTTACTTGTACGTACTTACGTTGAGACAGAAACTCAACCCTTTTGAGCGAGTTCCAGAAAAAGCATCGTACGAATAAGTGTTTTGTACCATTTTGGAATTAATTTAATAATTATAGCATTCAATAATAATAATAATAATAATGATGATGATGATGATGATGATGATGATGATAATAATAATACACGTGAATAATTTTAATGAAATTCTGCAAAAACCGCTGTGTCGGTGTTCGAAACAAAAGGTTTTCTCACGTTTACAAATAATGTTTATATTCCTTTTCCTATTTCCTAACCTCTTCGTTTATTCCATGTTAAATTGGTTTAGTTTTGAAGTCAATTCCCAGATTTTATTTACGATCAAATACAATATATTATAGCATTTAAACTTCAGATAATTAAATATGGTCCTTCCGAACGAAACAAATTATTGTTAGTTTCTCTTAAAAAATGACGATACACGTACAGATACTTATTCAAACAATCTTTAGTAATTAATTTTTTTTATTATTTAAAAACTATTTAGGTACGTAAGTATCTGTATTGTATTGATTAAACGTTATAACGTATTTGATTTAGAAAAAAATAATTAAAAAATATTACTCGATAAAGTAATTCGATTTCATACGAAAAACGACACTTTATTTTTTTCTATTTTTATTTTTTAAACAATATACAATACAATTCTTGATTCAATTATCTATCGGTTCATTTATTCTGCTGCACATAATATTCATGCCGTTAACTGAATCGTTATCGTTACTTCAGAAAATAAAGATCTGTTGCAAATGCTGTGCCTTTCTAATTCAAGTGTATGCTACTTGGATAGCATCTAGGATTGATTAGTCGGTACTCGCTTCTCAATTCGACCCTGAAGTTATAGGAACCACAATTGAATTCAGAATTTTTATATCCTTCCGGCATTCCGGATAACAATAAACTCTGGAGTAACCGTTTCATTAACATTCGATTAATTCATTACCATCCAATCAATGACGTTTAATTAAATGTTACATTTTCACAAGTAATTGTGACGTCTTAATTGCTTTATTCCATTTTTTTTTATTATTTGTTTCGTTCCTTTTTTCTTTTTCCTTACCTCGTTATCGCAAGAATTAATTTGTCTTGCGAAATTAGACGATAAATAAAACGTAACCGTAATTTAAATTCCTTTTAAAAATTTACACTTTTAATAAAGTGCTTTCGCAAACGAAGTGATTACTAACTTTAAAGACGAGATGATACAAACTTCTCATAGAATGCTCTATGAGGAAATATTTTAGAAGCTGTTAGAGATTGATGTTACAAAATTTCTTACATAAAACGAATTTCCGTAAAGTTTGTAAAGAAAATACGATGTGATACGAAAGTATATACAATTCGCGTTAATTTCTTGTTCTATTCGACTTCTTTGAATTCGTCCAACGTCACGAAAAGTAACTTTTCAATAAAATAGATTTAAACTTACAGCTTGTACGTACTCGTAGACGAAAGTGAGATGTTAAGAACGTATCGATATGGATATTTAAACGACACCGACACGTCGATAAACATTGTACAAACTTTCTCAATATTATACAGATGTTACAACAAACGTGTAAACTTTTGTTCAGACGATACTGCAACGTGATATCGAAAGATCGTAAATGCCAGTTTCGTGAGTTAATTTATAGATCGGAACTTGTGTTAAATCGTGATTCAAGGTTTATGTGTGTACGGGACACGAAGTGCGGCCACATGGTTCAAAGTTCAACGACAAAAAATACTACTAACAAAAAAGCAAAAGAAAAGAAAAAAAAAGAATAAAAAAAAAAGAAATGGTCTGCAACGTCAGCATTTATTTTCTTTTTTTTTCCTTTTTTTTTCTTTTTTCTTTTTTTTTTTTTTTTTTTTCTTTAATACCGACATATAGTTTAAAGAAAAATCGAACTCTTTCTCCCTTTTTCCAATGAAATTAAATATTGTGACGTAAACAACGGTGCGAATTCGTTCAAAGAATACCGACCATCGCGTTCGTCCATCCGAATGAGAAAAAATAATTTCCATACACGATGGCGTACGTGATTCCTTCTCCCGAATGTTTCTTTTTTTCCTTTTTTTTTTATTCTACTACCATGCCTTTACACATTTACGAACGTCATATTTGAAATGCACTATACGGATGGCTCTAGCTTTGTGCAATTCTGACGATGATGGGCTCTCGGCTAGACGCTACGCAAATGTCTCTTTCGAAGCGAATAATCGTAAAAGTTGGACTTTCCACTAGAAAGTTGCCGAATTTAATTTTAATGAATATACGTATCAACAGTCACACTTCGGTTAAGATATTCGAACATCGCTAAATTTTCTCAACGTAGAAAGTTTGTGCATTATACGTACTACAAACGATCTGTCGTTATATCGATAATGAATCTCAACAAAGTTTGCTATCCGAAATGTCGTCGAGTTCTTGTTATAATGCTTTTCTTATATGTATATTGATCGCCAATGGAATTTTTAACGCAAAATTTTGATACGCTTGAAAAGTATTGTTCAGCGATTAAAATTAAATTGACGTTTTGATAATAAATGAATAACTATTATCAAATTAAATCGAATAACTTTACTAATTTACAATAGTCTTTTTCTTGCTATACTTTCATTTTGTATTTTTTATCGTTACTATAAACAGGAAAGAAAATTTATTTCTCCATACACTTCACTATTAATTTCTTCGTATCTAATAAAAAATTCAGAGCAATCGCTTCGGTCGATCTAAAAAAAAGTTATTCGATTTCGAAATATTTTCGAATGTTTTTATAATCTATTGTATATATATCGAAGATATTAAAAATAAAAGAAAAATGTATACTAAATTCAAAAATAGTATGTAGATCATCACATACAAGCGACGAGGAGGGAAATAGGGAAATCGTTTATTCCATCAGAACGATCAAGGCCGTTCATCTCGATTGTCTCGTAAGTGCTTTGAAGCATATAAAGGTGTTCGACTAACC